ACGAAGGATTCAGTCTCATTTTGCACGGTCGGAGAGTGGCACCGCAACAAAAGCCCCCAGTGCGCGCACGGCAAGGATAAAAAATCGCGTTTAATTTCCTCCTCCGTCGATCTCCCAATTTAACGAACGGTCAGATAACCGGTTCCCGACTTTCCTGTACTGGAAACCGGGCTGCGCCCGCAATTCGTCCAAAGACCGCACCGCCATCCCCACAACCGCCGCCACGTTGGCTCACAGAACAACCGGTAGGTGTCGTGTTAGCGACCGCGACGCCCTATATACCCACTTACACCTATTTTTTAGGCCTAGTTGCACGACTCTGCACGACTTGCCATCCGACAACATTGTGAATGCAGCTGGACAACGTAGCTGTCTCTGTGCACTCTAAATGACGACAGACATTCCCCAAACGGAAAAGCAGCCACTACACGACAAAACGCATCCATGTATACGCAGCCATCCTGGCTGCGAACTGAAGTTACCCATGGGTCGCTGCCGCAGTCTTCATGACGTCCATCACTTCACGAGGTTTGGCGGCGATTTCGTTTCTCTTTTTTGTCGTGTCCTCCTTTTTTGTTTCCCTACGTCCATCACTTCACGAGGTTTGGCGGCGATTTCGTTTTTCTTTTTTGTCGTGTCCTCCTTTTTTGTTTCCCTGCCAGCAAGGCAGGGTGTTTCCCGTGATATGTGCAGATGCCCTCTTTGAGGGCAAACTCATACTGAAACATCAAAGAATGTATGTAACGCATATCAGGGCCAAAGCCATGTTTCTTTTCTTTTAGTCTTCTTCTACTTTATAGAATCTGATAACAACCGGACGTTTCTTTTTTCTTAGGGGCTGATCCGACCTCTCTTCTTTTCGGGAAGAACCAAAAAGAAACGGCTTGGGCGGGCGGGCCCCTTGAGGAAAGGAAAAGTGATTTTGGATCCCACTTGGGCGACAATAGCGGGACTTTTACGATTTTGGCGGCGTCCCAAGGGGAAAGGAACGTGCTGTCACACAGAGGAGAGGACAGCGTAGCCCACCGGATATTGAAAAGAAAAGAAAAAACGCCGGCCTTCTTTTTAGGAGCAGGGACAGTGCTGGCTTCTACCGATTTTGGCAAGTTCTTTTTCACCGCGGGTCACGGAACACCTGCCACGTACACATTTGTTTTCACTCGCTGCCGAACTCGACGGGAAGACCTACGAACTCAGAAAGTAGTCGGATCCCGCGAAAACCAGTAGACTACGCTCCGTAGCAGTAGTAGGATCAGACCCTTAGAGGTGGACCCCACTGCCTGGCGGAAGCTTTCCGCCTGGAAAGCTTCCGCCAAACCCAAATCGTAGGCCCCGGAGGTGGGAAAGAGAAAAGCAGACCCCACTGCAGCACAAATTTTCGGCAGTTCCATTGGTGCCGGTTACCGGATAGGGAAAACTTTCCCTATATGGAAACTTCACGTCCGCTTGTCTCGGTTCTCACCCAATCCCTGGCTCTCCTTTCCACATGGGATGGCCACACCGAGGGAGGTGCCCCCCCCTTACTCCCTCAGAATGGCCGAACCGCACGGAACGGGCAAAACAAAAACGAGTGAAAACGTCTGCCACGTCATATCTGAGCGTTTTCCAAACCTTTGTCGCAAAGCAGTGGGGTTTCACAAATCTTCTTCCAAAGCTTTGCCGCAAAGCAGTGGGGTCCACCTCCTAGTCTTCTTTTACATGTTACAATCTGCCAGCAAGGCCACGGGGCTGAGACGCCCTCATGAAAGTGCACTTTTGCCTTTCTGTTTTATAGTTGTTTTTAGTTTTTTTTTTTTTTTTTTTTGCAAATAATTAGTATGAGCTCCTGTGCACGCCAAATGTGCAAAATGAGAATGAATTTTTCACTGGAACATGGAATAATACACCGCAATTGTCACAGTGCTTTGCTGTCAGACACCGTTGATTATTCTGCTGTCAGCGGAGATATCGCCAGATTTGAAAAAGCATACCTGGATTTGCTGCTGCCCAGATACACACACTGCAATTCCTTTTTTTTTTTTTTTGTATGGATCAGATATTAAACTGATCAGGTCCCCCTGATGAGGTTGTGGCTGGCGACGGCCGAAACTAGTAGGGGACAGCCAGTCATCGTCATCTTCCGGAGTTTATAGTGGATCACACGGCGAGGGTGGGACGAGGGTCATAGCTTGGCTATGACAGGTCGGGATCTGAATGTTTATCTTTCGTGACTTAATCGAGATTCTTTCACATATGGTGCTATTCGTGCATGACGTGCATGTGTGGTTATGTGTTTGCTGCGATTGAGTCAGTCGCAACGCTGACTTCGCTTACATCTACAAACTGATCAGAACAGATACTGCACTTGATCTTAGCCAAAAGCCCGCGAAGGTGTTCTGACTTCTCGTTTTTCCTTTTTCAGCGGGGATGGCCAAGGGAATGGCATCGTCTTTCCAACACGCCAGAACTTTCTTCTTCTTTGTTTTTTGGTCATCATTTTCCAGACAAGATAATACAATACTGCTTTGTTCAAAAAAAAAAAAAAAAAAAAAAAAAAAAAACGAGCTTACTGGTTATTAGCTTGTGGTTGTCCAGCTCGAAGCTGTGCCGAGCCTGTGAAAAATGTGCTTCCAGCATGATTGGAGATGAGTTTTCGGTCGGCAAAGGTACTGGCGGTTTAAGTGTGGGACCCCACGGCGGCGCTTGGGGCCAGGAAAATGTCCGCCAGCCCAAAATCRTAGCCAAGCGAAAAGGGACTCCACCGCCACAGCAATTTATTTTTGGCACTCCCCGAGGTTTTCCGTTACCCGATCAGGAAGACTTCCCTTTTTGGGCAAGTTTTCCTCCGCCTTTTCAGCACACCAACCAATCCCCGTGCTTTCTTTCCGCAGCACTAGAGATCAGCAAACACACCCTCTAGATTCAGCCATCCTCTCGCAGAAAGGAAGCACGCGGATTGGTTGGTGTGCTGAAAAAGCGGAGGTAGGCAGAGTGGAAACAAAAATCCTTGCGTTTGCCAGCAGCAGTGGAGTCCCAAAAACTGTCTTCCCAAGGATTGGCACCAGCCGGTGGGGTCCCAGCGTTCTTAGGGCGGGATTGGCGGGGGGGAAGCCCCTCCTCTAAGATGCTGCCTTATCAACACAAAAAAGAAGAAAATGTCCTAGAGGAGAGGCTTCCCCCCCCCCAATCCCCCCCTAAGATTGGAATGATACAGAGAAGGGTAGATTAGCATGCCCCCCCCTGCGCAAGGATGACACCAGACCCTATAAACGCAAGCATGGTAACTGTTGATAGGGCAGCATCTCTTTGAGGGACATCCATCAAAATTGGAAGGATACAGAGAAGGGTAGATTAGCATGCCCCCCCCTGCGCAAGGATGACACGCATAAAAAAAAAAATGGTCCAAATTGGAAAAAAAAAAAAAAAAAAAAAAAAAAAAAAAAAAAAAAAAAAAAAAAAAAAAAAAAAAAGCCCCCCAGAACCTCTTGCTAGACGAGTCCATTACGAACACATACCCTGTGGCAGATGCTTACTGGCTGACGAAAAGAGCTGACCGCGAGTGTGGATGGGGAAATCCGAAATCTGGATGAACAGAGACACAAGTCTGGTCTCTGTTCAGACATGACGCCAAGTTGGTTAGAGCCTTTCAAGTCAAAATCCAATCCAAGCCACCCTTTCCATTCGCAGGCCTACTCCACTGCAATTGGCAGAGGACAGGAGTGCCGGAAAAGTGAAAATAAGGCCTCAGAGGGGGCACTACTTTCCAGACTATTTTATGGGGGTTCATCCCATTGCATCGGGATTCGAACTAGGGTCTGCATTTTAACATTTTATGGGGGTATCATTCGATGAGCAATGATTAATTTTCCCCAAGTCCGTGACCCCTCCACTCTCATGCCTGGTATGGAATCAGCTAAAAAATGATCCTTCCTATGATTGATCCTTCTTCTTCTTCTTCTTCTTCTTCTTCTTCGTCTTCGTCTATTCAATTGGCTCTGTATTTATACAGACCATATGTCTCGTGAGTTTGTTCTTACTACTGACCCTGTCGCAGCCTCAGTGTTGTCGAAGACAAGACGTAGCTGCGTCACATGCCTATGGTGAGAACGGAGTGCATAAAAAAAAAGAAAAAAAAAAAAAAAGAAAAGGAAGGGGAGAAAAACAACAATACAACAAAGCAGAGGTTGGAATTTCCATAGTTCTCAGATTGTTCTTTTTTTTTTTTTTTTTTTTATTATGGTCCGATGGACCACGGATCAGATATTAAACTGATCACAACAGATACTACACTTGATCTTAGCCAAAAGGCCGAGAAAGGTATTCTCAGATTGTTCTTAGCCGAAGCCAGGTAGCGGCCCTGGTATTTCAAATCATTTGTATAATTCCACATGGGACGCTGGGCCCGGTTCTCAGCCAAAAGGCCCGGCTAACGGAGCTAGATGTACTCGACTGTCCGGAAGGTTGGGTGTGGACGGCACGGAAGTGGAAAGGTGGATGGATGGTTTGGACTTAGTGGAGAAGATAGGTGGAACCCCCTGATGAAGGCAACGTGGCAGTTGCCGAAACGCGGCGTCGGGGACGCCGACCCTGAGACATGTGGATGCTTTCATTGACTTTGTTAATGTTCTTTCATTGACTTTGTTAATGTTTCATTGATGTGTACATTGGTTGATTGTGTGTACTCGTTTCGCTATTTGCGAACTGTCTTGTACTTGCTGCTTTTTGCACAAGTTCACTACATGCTATTCAATTCAACTTGCTACCACGCACGTGAACTTTCTCGGAGAAGAATTACTGAGATTAAGTGAGCGTGTTTGACTACAGTGCACGAGTAAGTTTCTCGGGATCAAGGAGTAAGATGGGTGACAGAAGAAGCCATGAGAGGAGAGATTATGATCGAAGGGACTATCGTTCAGGAAGCGAAGATCATGGAGGTTATCGAAGATCGGAGAAGAGATACGACCAGGGAGCGGATCGACCTTATCGAAGGTCTCCACCGAGGTGCTTTGCCTGCAATGAACGCGGGCATTACGCTAATCAGTGCAAGAATCGACGCAATTTTGATAGTAGGCCGTCGACTTCGTACGACGCCGAGCGTGGTAGATCGATGTCGCCGACGGGGGTAAAAACGGAGAAGCCACGCGCCTCATCACAGGAGCCGCCTTTGCAAAAGCAGATCGAGGAACTCGGAAAAAGTTTGGCATCGGTTACCGAGTTCGTGCAGAACGAGATGGCAAGAAAGGCCGAAGCTGAAAGAGCTAAAAAAGAGGCGGAAGTAGTAGCGCAACGTGAAGCAGCTGAGAAGGCCGCGAGAGAAAAGAAGGAACGCAAGAGATTGGAGAAGTTAAGACAAGAGGAGCTGCGAGTGGCGGAGATTGACAAACGGGTGGAACTGCAAGTCGCTATCCGAGCTGGGGAGTTCTTTGATAAGATGGAAGTTAACTATGGGAAAGGCGTTGCGCTTGGGAAACAAGCCCGAGGGAAGAAGCAGATCGTTTACCTATCTGATCATGGATCGAGCTCAGGTAATGGGAGCAATGCGATTGAAACCGAGGAAATCCGAAAGAAGACAAAGAAGTTGGCGATCAGTGAGAAGAGGAAACGTGGTGCTGAACTACCAGTCGAAGGAAGCCCGCCGATGATGACCCCGGCGAAGCGAACTCCGAAAGTTATGAAGGATAAAACTACTGGTGGCTCTGCGAGGGTTACACGATCAAAAGCGAAGGTGAAGACTAAGCTGTCACCATACTTGGCACGGATTAAAAGTCCGGCACCACCAAGTACTTTTGTGAAGCTGCGATTCAAGAACCAGGCTATGCAGGAACTTCGGGGGTTGGATGCCCAGGAATTGCAAGGTATCTGCAAGAACGAAGGAATCGTATACAACGGGAAGGTGGACGCAATCTTCGACATTGCAAGCCACCGTACGCGCAAGGCTTTCGACAAGGAGGAAGACCCGATTGAATCGGGAGAGAATTCGGAGCAGGGTGAGGAAGATCCGACAACTGCCGAGGAAGTCGCTGATGCATGAAGTGCCAAAGATCTATGGGAGAGTCAGATGGTTGACAAGTTACCGGTGCAGCTTGACGCGTGTAGATACGAAAGCTGAAGAGTTACTACGTCTATGCGTTTTCCTTTTATCTTTGAGAGGTGAGATAAAGTGGGCTTGTAGGATGGTTGAATGCTCGAGGAAACTGGTTGAGTCATTTGGTGTGGAATTCCTAAATATCACGAGTTGCGTGTATGTGGCAATCTCGCCGTATTGCAAACTGCAGTACGTAGGAAAAACCACACGGAACGTAGATGTTCCTTGGCGTGAGCATCTTAGTGCATGTCGCAATCGTACCCAAACGCATTTTCATAGATGGATTAGTACGTACAGGGCGGGTAACTACGTCCTACTACCTGTAGATCGTATGGAGACTCATGATTTGCTGGACCTTGAAACTTTGTATATCAAGAATTGGTCGCCCTTTCTTAATACGAGCGGCTGCAAGAGGTCCGACAAGATCTACGGTGAGAAGTGTCAAGGGAAGAATGAGAGAAAGAAAAAGTGCATGCAGAATGGATCTGGTGAATGCCGGCCGTTACTTCCTATTCGATGTAGACTTGCCTCTGAGAACGACTGGTCGCTGAACTTGTTAGAGTTGCTGAAGAAGTGTGAAAATGAAGGGAGACGAACAGTGTCGATTAAGTCAAGCGGGGGAAATACTTGGTCGTGTGGTTGGAAGAAGATCCGAAAGATGGTTGGTGAGTCATTCGTCACGAGTAACGAAGGTCCGCTCGCTTTAAAACAGGCTAAAAACCTGTTCGAACGTTGCGGCTCCATCAAGATAGAGTACCTTCGGATTTGGAAATCCAAGGGTGGTTTTCTGAAACATATTTTGATTGGTTTGTTGAAAAATCCAAGGAAGCTGAATGACGTGCAATCTTGGGGTTTGAAATCCTTGATGAGATTATATAATGCCATCAAGGACTTCAGAAAGAAATCTACACGGAAATACTTACGTAGGCTGCTTTCGCGGGTTATCCGTGAGAAGTCTGGTTTAAGTATGTCGACTTATCTGACTGTACGCATTAAATTCGACGATAGGATTAGACTTGTGGAGCTACGCAAGGTTGTAAATGATGGGGTTATGAGGTGTGACTTACCTTCTTGTTTCCTGAAGCGTGCGAGGAAGAAGATCCGAATTGTCTGGGTTAAAAACCAGTCAATTGGCTCTATTCTTCACAATCAACGGGCATTTGCTGCCCGTGAGGTGCTTACCTGCGTATGTGCAGGGTTGGCCTACCCGAAGGAGGGAGGTCACGTATGCTTCCGGTTAAGTCAAGGGGAGCCGCACCACAGACTGTTAGCTAACGCTAACGATATTCCCCGAGCTGAGATTCAAGACCGATTGAGTCTGCTCCGGCGTGAGGTGGTTAAGGGTTTCGCAAGTTGGTCCAATATGAAGGGAGATGTACCGGTCCTAACCAATGAAATGTTGAGAGAATGTTTTTCGGATGTGTCGAATCAGAATTGCAAGATCACACTGTCTGATGTGAGGAGGGTGAAGGACGAATTGGATGGACTTGTGCTTACACCACTCGACAGAAATCCTGGCGAAACGCTAGAGATGTTCCCAGATGCCTATCACACCGCGATGATGAAGACCTTCATGAGAGACGAGGGCTATGGAATTGTGCCTACACCTGTCGAGGAGATTCTATGTGAGATCAGGGATGATGTGGATGCTAACGGCTTGAAGAAGTTTGCCAGATGGGACTCGAACGGCAATTTTGGTGAAGCTACGTGTTGCCAAAACACAAGGACACTGGACGTTTTCGACCGATCTGCCCTACGTTCAATGAACCCATGGTTCGAACGGGCAGATTGGTAGCTAAGTCCTTGAATCACCTGTTGTTCCAGCTACCTGCTGATTGTCACTTCAACATGCAAGCTGTCTTCGATTTGCCAGATAGACTACGGCGAGTTAACAGGAAGATCGAAAAACTATCAGGTGCCTGCAAGGTTGAAACAATCTCTTATGATATCAAAGAGGTGTTCAGCCGTCCTCCCCATCACGAGATCCAAGAGGCAGTGGAGTGGGTTGTGAGATACCATAAGGAGAAAGGGCGTGTGTCAATACACGTGGGAAGGGAGTGACATTCGGTGAGACTACGGGTGCTGACCACTGGCGGAAGATTGACCTCGATGATGTTGTGAAGTTTGTGAGATTGGAACTGAGGCACACTAACACCTTCACAACCGGTGTTCTGCTGCATCAAGTGATTGGTATACCTATGGGGAAGAGCATGAGCCCTCCCCTTGCATGTATTATGCGCGCTATGGCCGAATGTAGATTCTTGAGAAGCATTGGGAGCCAGAAGAGAAATGTGTTTGGGATCAGATTGATTGACGATGTCATCTTGATTACAGCTATGAGGGATTGCGGGGATCGCGGAGGTATTGTGGAGAAATTCGAAGCCTGTTATCCGAAGAATCTGACTCTTAAACGCACGAATGAGGCAAGTGACTCGGTGCAGTTTCTGGGGCGTGAGGTGCGGACGAGTCAGAGAATACCTTTTCTGGGAAGCATACAACTGGCCAAAAATGAGGAGACAGTTTGGAAGAGCGAAGAGTTGGTTTTCCAGAATGGCCAGACGTATGCTTCGTGGAGCAGTAAGCAACAAAAAAACGCAATCATCGGCAGTCACCTGCATCGGATCGAGCAGAATACTACGATCCGCGGAGAAATCCCGAGGAGGGTGCTCACTGTGAAGAGGGAACTGGGTCTGAAAGGCTTCCCACAAGACAACTTCAACAGAGTTCTGAAACGCTTCTCTGTTGGGAAGGATGATATCTGGAGGATGATGACTGAGTTATTAACTCAGTGAATCATTGAACAGGGGCTTAGTGTGCAGTACGGTTCTCTGAGATCTATTTGTTTTTTCTGTTGCTTGTGAATCATTGGATAGGGGTAGAGCTTGTAGCGCGTTTCTCTGTTGTTTTGATGTTTTAGGTTGTGTTCATCCTTTCTCGTGCGGTTTTAGTGCTATGTAGTTTTTTGATGATTGTTTTGGCTTGGTATTTCGGCAGTACCCTGTTTTGTCCAAAAAGAGAGTCCAGATGGGTCCCGGTACCACGGGTGTTTAACTGACGATTCGAGAGATTTCGGGGCTGTAGGATTTTGGCGGCTTCGTACGGTACCGTTATTTTTCCGGGTCTGTGTTTTGGGAATTAGGCTAGGCTTGGCCTGGACTAGGCACCTGAATGAATGGGACTGATATCTGAGTTAGGTGATTGGGTTTTTAGTACCTTTTGTTTGGAACCTTGGACAGCATGATTGTTTCGGGGATTACGACTATGATTGAATATATTCGGAAAGTACACTGTAGTCGACCTCTTCAGGCTAACGGAGCTAGATGTACTCGACCGTCCGGAAGGTTGGGTGTGGACGGCACGGAAGTGGGAAGGTGGATGGATGGTTTGGACTTAGTGGAGAAGATAGGTGGAACCCCCTGATGAAGGCAACGTGGCAGTTGCCGAAACGCGGCGTCGGGGACGCCGACCCTGAGACATGTGGATGCTTTCATTGRCTTTGTTAATGTTCTTTCATTGACTTTGTTAATGTTTCATTGACGTGTACATTGGTTGATTGTGTGTACTCGTTTCGCTATTTGCGAACTGTCTTGTACTTGCTGCTTTTAGCAGAAGTTCACTACATGCTATTCAATTCAACAATTCAACCGGTTCTCAGCATGTGTTTCTCCCCACGAATAGATTGGAGCATTTGTCTAAACAAAAAAAAAAAATAAAAAAAAAATAATAATAATAATACCACTCGACGATCCAGGCTACCAGAGTGACCACTTGCACGGCCGGGCCGAAAAACCTGGGAAGATTTTCATGACCGGCGCGTCACCTGGGCGTGACGCCCCGGGGGGTCTGACGCCCGGGATATCCGGGCATGGGGGAAAAAAATATAAAAAATGGCAGTCGGGTTTTTCCGCACTTTCCGAGAGGAGCCCAAATCCGGACTCTTTTCTTTTTTGAGAGTTGGCTGTCGAGGGGCGGGAAGGGGAGTATAAATGAATTTAAAGGGGCTAAATGGGTTTAAAGGGGGGTGCCTAAGTGTGATTTTTTTTATTTTTTTTTTAATCTCGAGTTCCGTGAGGAATTCTGATGTGACCCTCAGCCAAAAGTTGTTTGCATTGCAATTTTACACAACATTTTTTTTTTTCCACATTTTTTCGGAGTTTTGTTTTTGTTTTTTTTTTGTTTTTTTTATTGCGCTGGGGCTGCCCGGGCCCATGCCCGGCCTGTCACCCGGTCGCCAAACCGGGCGTGACGTTGGGACCCGGGTGCCCGGGACATCTCCCTAGCAAAAAACAGTAAATAAAAAATATGTTTTTAATTTAATTTTTTATTTAAAAATATGATAAACAATTTCGAAGTGACCCTGAGGGCAAAATTAAAATTTTTGTTCAGTTTATTTTTCTGCATAACATACTAAACAATGTAAACAATAGTTTTTCACTGGAAACAATTTCGAACTGACCCCGGTGCAAAATTAAAAATTTTGTTCAGTTTATTTTTCTGCATAACTGCAAGGAACCTCACTGTTCACAGCTTGCTGGAGTGTTTCGCATCGCATGCATAGATGTCATCACACAGATAGAGAAGCTTCATACAAAGCCAATTCGAGATGGAATGAGAACCAGAAAACGCAGCTCATATTATCAAAATCACGTTATATATAAAGAGAGTATCTTGAGCTCAAGAGTCCAGCGCCAACAGATCACAAGTCTCCTTCAAACATTTGTCAACAAAGGGCCTGGCTCAACCAGCATATGCCCAGATCACAGGTATGGCGCCAGCAGGTAAATATCCACCATATCCAAACTTCACAACCTGTCCTCTCTCTCTCTCTCTCTCTCTCTCTCTCTCTCTCTCTCAAGATCTGTGTCCTGGTTCCCCTATCCCACCATGCATGCACACTCCCTATCTACGAGAATCTGCTCTGAATGCAACTCACTGATTTCCTATCACTAACCCTTCTACAACTGCTAACACAAACTGGCGCAGCTATGGCCTCTTCTGCAGCCAGCGCTCAGCACCTCTTCCTTCTGCCGCAGCTCTCAAGCCAGCGCTCCCCTTCCCTACACTACAGCGCACAAGTGCCACAGCACTTCCACGCATCAATGCCAATGGGAATCTGCCTTGTAGGGAGGTTGTCGCGTTTCTTATAGTGCTGGCTGGGTCCTTTCCCAGTCCCAGACCTCTGTGGAATGTGTCCCAGTTCCTTATCCTCAGGGTCTGCTGCTGCTGCGGCCTCCGGGCCTGAATTTCGGACTTTCAGTCTGTCTCTAGACTTCCCATTTCACTTGAAGAATCTAGACTGGGACCTTTATCTCTTTGACTCCTTTATGAACAGACACATCTATTGCTCGAACAGACACTTTTACTGTACGCACAGGCACATCTCCTGCACCAACAGACATGACTTGCTGTTACATACTTCAATGAGTATGGGCAGAACCAAAGATCAACCAATATAGGATG